AGAAGCAATTTTATGCAGAAACACAAGTCGTTATCGCGTAACAAACACCCAAAAAAAAAGAAAATACAGACGAATTGAGAATCACCTCTTTTTTGTAGTCGGTTAAAAATAACTTTCATCTTTTAGTATGTTAGATGTCTATATTCATTTTAAAAATAAACTTTTGGCGCGCATTTGAACTGGTGAATCAAAAACTTATCACATTCCATCTTGATAATGCCAAACCATGTAACCGGTAAAAACGATTGCAGTTAGCTTGCAATTGCAATGTTTTAGCTAATCCACAGTATTCGCCCGACATAGCTCCTACAGATTTTCACTTATTTCGGTTTTTATAAAATTCTTTAAATGGACATCACATTGATAGCGAAGGGACAATGAAACGACACTTAAAGTGTCGAGTTCTTAGGTTTTCGCGATTGTTATACATAGGAATGAAACTATTTTTCCGGATTTAAATCGCGTATATTTGTTTTTTCAAACACCTCACCTCAGTCAACCGTGACCATGGGACCTGTAAAGGGCCCGAAACGTCGGTTTGTTTGAAAAAACAAATATACGCGATTTAAATCCGGAAAAATAGTTTCATTCCTATGACACTTAAAGTGCTTTTCCACCGGCGAGGCGAGACGAGGATTGAAATCTCGCCGGCCTATTTCCACCAAAAATTGCCATTAATAGCTCGCGCGAGCAGAGTTCAGGATAGCGACGATTCAGTGTTGTTCAGTTCGTTCAACGATAAATGCATTTTGATTAATTTAGATTTTATCAACAAAGGTTTAAGTAAAGCTGTACTAAATCGATATCAAAAGACGTTATTGTAATTGCTACTTTATGTGTATTCTTTTTAAATTAAATATAATCGTTTCTATTTCATATTCTCAATTTTTGTTCCGCTAAATGTGTCTAAATATTCATACTGCAAATTTGAAATCTCTTTAAATAACTTGAAGTACACATCTCAGTAGAAAATTTTGACAGGTTGTTATGGTCTGGCCTACGGTGCTGGATTAGAAATATCATCGTCGTGAGACTAGACTTAGGCAGGGGATCCACTATAAATTCAATTAAATTCTGAACATTATAACTCGGGGTTTGTCAAGGCGAGAGTAAATAGGGATTATGTAAGTATCAAAGTCAAATAATAATTAATTCCATAGGTAAAATTTTTCCACTTGAATACGTCATTTTTAAGATACTTTCTAAAGTACTGCTCGTTCACTACGCTGACCTCCCTGAGAACGAGCAAGAAACTCCAGGGATTGCTCTTTTCAAATAAACTTAAATGCTATGGAATACACTTTGAATCATAATTGTGTGGAATCTAGACTCTTGTCTTTCCATACTTCTTTATCTAAAACATACTCTTCAATTTTGTAATACGACTTTTCAATTAAAATACTTTTAGGCTCAACTCACACTGGCGCAGAGTGGAAGCGTCGCGGCGCGTCATGTTTCTCGCCCATAACATATTCATCTCTATTTTCCCTTTATTAAGGTACAAATTTGTGTTTTGCAAATATGGAATGCGTCAGACGCCGACCACACTGTGATCCCGGCGCACTAATGCGAGCGTTGTCGCGCGTTGACGCGTGTCGCCAGGCGGTGTAGTTGAAAAACAGGACGCGACGCGACGCTTCGACTCTGCGCCGGTATGAGTTGAGCCTTAATGTAAGTTTTTAACTTAGGAAACGTTGACTTACAAATAAATGGACGACGGGTCTAATACAAAAACCACGAAAAAAAATGTCCCAAGTCAACCTATTTAAATGTAGTGACATGTAAAGGAATATGAAAAAGCGAAACCGTTGAATTTAAATTGTAATGTCATCGCAGTACTGTCTAATTTTGCTTGCTTCGCTGTCTGTCGAACAAACGAAGACTAAAGCGTGAATGACGCTCTGTATACGATTTTAACGCCCTATAAGTTCGGACACTTTTTAGCGCGGACCCGACGTCCATATAATTGTCATAAAATCTGATATCTTAATATATTCTCTGGAATCTTATTTTAAAAACGTATACAGGTTCCCCATAAAAGAATCGTTTACCTTAGTTAAACAAAATCGTGGTACCATGGGTTTGGACTTAGTTCTAAGGTTAATCTTATGGATATCTTCTTTCTTAATGAAATTATGTATATTTTTACGGGCATACAAAATATTTGAGTAAATGTACTGTGATGCCACAGTTATGATACCAGTCTCCTTAAACTAAGAAACCCAGTTCAGTTGAGATGGAGATCATGTGCGCATTTATTCCTACAATAAAAGAATATCAACTTACCGGTTTCCCATCCTTGTTGCCTTTCCAAAACAGGTGAGCACACAAAGCAACTGCTCGACTCTGATCAGGTTTCTTAAGCAACTTGCTTGCTGCCAATGCACATTGAGTCCTCATGGGTTCTGCGTTTTCAGCACCTAAAATTTTCATAAAATACCGAATCATATCATTTATTTGCTTGTGGATTCTTTCATGTACATCTGTACGGGGTACTATACAGGGTGATAAAAAATCACTGTCCGTTGTTTTCCTGCGCATAACATCTAGTAATATAACACATTAGTGAAATAAAACGAAAAAATGTTCCCCATTTTTTGATGTTAATATTTCCCAATAATTTCTAACGCGTGGTTTACTTAAAATAGTAAATAAAATTGAGGGATAGGCACCGAGCTGTCTAGACGCCTAGGCGTCAGCACGTCGCGCCGCGCGACGAGAGACCTGCGCTAACGCATCGCGCGTTAGTTTAGTATTTTGTTTTCTGTCAAATACCTAAACTCGCGCGCTGACTCCGCCCACTGCCACACACCGTTGTTGTTGCAACGGCGTCTGTTTATCGTCGGGTGTCAATATTGTTCACAATTTTTCGGAAAACTTTCAGACGTCCTAACTTATTTATTTGTTAAATATTTGAAAAAAAAAAACCGAACATGTATTTTTTATTTCCATTATACAGTATGCTCGTTTAAAGTGGTCAATGTTTTTTTATCACCCTGTATATCTAGTTACAAGTACAGTATTAATAGAGCTCCTAGTGAAATAATTAAGCGTTACGGTTCCACATTTATATAGCAAACCGCCATGGAGTGGAATTCCCCTCCCGACTTATTCCCGGAACAACATAACTTGGGCCTTTTCAAGGCGAGAATGAGTAGGCCTTATTTAGGTGTGCATGCTCCATCGTCGAACTCGTCCCTTTCTATGAGATGGAGTTTAAATGCGCCTAATTTTTTATTTTAAAAAAATGTCCAGAAAATACTTTCTTCACAACAATACTGCCACCTTACCTATTTCTGAGGCCAAGCAGTAATGTAAGCATAACTGCGTTCCAGTTTTGAAGGGTAAAAGGGTTTTCTTTTTTTTTTATATACATAATAATATCAAGTGGCGGAACGAACAAGTCGTGCGCCTGATGATAAGTTTTAAATCGCAAAGTTTTAAGAAGCACTGCCACTGCGCTCGTCACCCTGAAACATAAGTTGACAAGTCCGATGTGCCTGTAATTTCACCAGCACCCTTACAGTTAACAAAATGTAAATACGTTTGTTATGACAATGAGGGCAGTACTGCCACCTTACCTGTTTCTGCCACCAAGCAGTAATATGAGCATGACTGTGTTCCGGTTTTGAAGGGTAAGGGTGCTAGTAAAACTACAGACACATGGTACTTGTCACCTTTATGTCTCTCGGTGACGGGCACAGTGGCAGTGTCCGTCAGATCTTTGTCATTTAAAGCTTTGAATGGCACTGCAACTGTTATGGAAAGTTTCTTCATCTCGCCACTTGAAATCATAGAAAAAGTGCAAAAGTATATAAGTAACCTTATTACTATATGACTATTTCTCAAAATATTAGTACATTTACAAACAAAGGGGTGTGCCCCGAACCAGTAGAAAAAAGTACTATGTTTTCATTCAATCAAGACAATATGCATAAGAAATTAAAACGAAATCCTAATAATTTATCTCTATTAACAACCTATAAGCGCTATAGAAATTTCTGTAATAACTTGCTAAAGTTATAATAATAATAATAATAATAATAATAACGCACACACTCAACATAGCACTAGGGAAATCCTGTGTCGCGGGTGCCATGGACACATACATAGACAACCACAAATTACACCCAAACTCACGAGAGAAATAAATGTAGGCCATACAAACATTTCTCCCGGCCCGGGAATCGAACCTGGAACCTCTGCGTGGCAGTCCGGCATGGTAACCGTTCGGCCACGCAGGCAGAAAGTCAATCAAAAGATCTTATGAAAAATCTAAACTCCATGAAGCTGGATCTGATAATAAAAAACTCTAGTTGGCAATAACGGATATAGCTAAGTGCGATGCCCGTGACCTCCTTCTTACCGAAACCACACCTTTTGAATCTGTTAACCATGTTAATGCCTTTTTTGGTACTATCGGGAAAACAATGGAGGAAGATCAGGAAATTTGTCAAACATTTCAAGCTTCACCTGCCCCGTCGAACCCTCACTCATTTGTCGTTCTACCCATGGACGAACAAGAAGTCCATAGAGAAATCATGACGCTAAAAAGTGACTGTGCAGTGGGCTGGGACGGTATTTCCACGAAACTTATTAAAGCCCGCAGTAATCTAATAGCTCCTTCGTTAACTCACATATGCAACATGTCGCTGTCCACGGGTTTGTTCCCGAAATCCTTTAAAATAAGTCTTGTTCACCCTATATACAAATCAAGAGATCGTAAAGAGGTTAATAACTACCGCTCAATTTCAGTGCTACCCTATCTAAGATCCTCGAAAGATTGCTTAACAAACAAATAACAAACTATCTGGAAAGTAAGGGCCTGTTGAGCGATGACCAATACGGTTTCCGGATGGGAAGATCCACTGATCAAGCAGTACTTAATTTTACTAACATGATTGTTCAAGACCTTGATTATAGAAAGAAAAGTTTGGCCATTTTCCTTGATCTAAAAAAAGCGTTCGATACTGTATCATACCTATTTTATTATCCAAATTAGAATCACTTGGCATACGCGGCACTCAACTTTCACTTTTCCAAAGTTACCTCACTGGCAGAACCCAACGTGTTATGGATCGTTACACGAGTGATGATCTCTCCATCTGCTACGGAGTTCCCCAAAGCAGCATAGTGGACCCACCCTATTACTGATCTACGTTAACGACCTGTGCAACTTGCTTATTCCTGGAGGTCAAATAACGGCTTTTGCCGATGACACCGGTCTATACTTTTCTGGAGATACCTGGGATGGGGTATTCACCTCCGCACAGATAGGGTTGGATAGTCTCAAAGTGGTTAAAATATAATCTCCTCACTCTAAATATTTCAAAAACAAAATATACAGGCTGTATATTTAAAAGTGGGACATACTTATAGAGTCCGTTATATTCCTGATTCTGAACCCAAAGAAATAATAAACTAATGAACTTAAACTTTACAAAAAATATTTTTTTAATTTTTTTTATCGACTACTACTTGAGAACAACATTAGTTATCGAAATCTATGCACATTACTATTATTGCTCCGACGCAGCGGCGAAAAGCAAAGCACAGGTCGGGGGTGGGGACGCGGGCGCATACGCGAAATTGCTCAGTCCACGCGCGACCTTGATCTAACGAAGACACGTATATTATTTGTACTTCCGCTCGCCCGATCGCCGCAAAATGGATATTTATTCTAACGTCGAATTGACTGAGATGGTGCAACTTTACGCAGTAAGTGGTGATAGTGTGAGGCAAGCTATTAAAATGTTCCCAAATCGAAGTTTACGCGGAAGAGGTGAACAGTGTCGAAGTGTTGCGTGCGAGGATTATCTCAGCATTTTATACTGTGAGACAAAATGTGTTTGTGTTGAACAATTTAAAACAAAATTTACTATGTCGTGCTAGACTATGCATTGTGGAAAACGGTGGACAATTTGAACACTTGCTCCGTAACACGTAAGTGTAAATAAACTGTAAATAACTAAAAAATCAATCATTGTAAATAATTTGATTTCACATTTTTAACTACGCCAAAAACCTCAATTCTTATTAAATGATAACTAGTTACTAAATCATAAACTTATCTTTTTTAGTACGTAAAACATTTCGATGATAGTTCAAGTAAAAAAAAATAACATAAGCTACAACGTAAATGTGAAATCATTGTTATTGTTGCTGTCTCACTCGGCGCTCGCTTGCTAGTATTCCCATTGCACTCGAAATCAAGCGTAAAGGGAATCGGTTTAGTCCTATGTACACTTCAAAACACATTTGTTGATTTATTTTTTGTTCTATTCCATATCCTAATTTTATTTTAGTCTATGTTAATTTGTAACATGATTTACTACGACATGTACGAATATGTCTCACTTTCAAATATACAGCCTGTATAACCTCAATAATTAATCATCACCCTCCAGATCCTACCAAGCATATTATCACTGCCCACTCCCCCAATGTTCCAACATCCCCTGTTCTTGCCCTCATCTAGAGAAAGCAAACAAATTTAAATACCTAGGCGTTGTGTTAGACAGTAACCAGTAGTTTACTCGCCAATCGAGTTCGTAAATTAATCTTAGTATTCAAACATCTTCGGCACGTCGCTGACCCTTTCCACCTCAAAAGGATTTATCTTGCCCTTTGCCAATCACTACTGAACTACTGTATCACTACATGGGGTGGTGCCGGCAAAACCCATGTTATTGCACTGGAGCGTGGTCAGCGGGCTTTGCTTAAAGTATGCACTTTCAAGTATTTGTCACTTCATAAAATACGAAATGTCTCATTAATAAGGTGCATGTTTTTGGTCTGTAGACCTTGATTGAATGTAGTTTCAGTATGAAAGTGATTTGATATGTGGTTTCATAGTAAAAATTTAAGTAATATGCCAAAAATAAAATGACTCATACCTATTTACCTTTCTTTCGTTACGCTTGATTTCCACCGATAACCGACCAATTGACCCAAACCACAATTTTCTTTTTTAGAAATGCCTCCAAAAACAAACTGAATTACTTCAGATATCCAACCTCCCTATCGAATACATGCTGATAAACGATGAAGATAGTATCTACCTTTAGATTTTTAAGTACCAATTGCGTTAATTATTAGAGCATAATTTTGTGATTTAAGTAAGGAACCATACTGCATTTTCTAAAACGTTAACATTAGTTTTAGGAAAAAATATATATTTCAATACTACGTATTTATTATTTTTATTTGCTTTTTGCCATATTAATTGATTTATTGCCTACTATTACTTAATGCCATAGTGATAAAATTAATTATATTTTGCCAATGTATAAAGTATTTCGTAACGTGCTTTTCGTTACGTACAATTATTTTGAGAAATAGTCATTTATTAGTATTTATGTTTACTTTATTGATGAGTAATACACGCTATCATTACAAGATATTCTCTTAACTCCCAAATTTCTACCCTAAGGTTGCCTGGAAGAAATTAGTACTTAGCAATAAGGACGCCTGTAGTACATTGGCTTACTCTGTGATACTTACATTACTGTTCTGTGTTATCATCGTAATTTTAATGTGCAATAAAGAATATTACATTCATTCATTCAAAGTATTCTAACACTTACCAAAACAATTTATCTGTTCAAAAGTAGCAATGATCAGAGTAATGGCGGCCAACTGGGCTTTGCTGTCGGAAATCTCGTCCTCATACAGGGAGAATGCTTGAGATAAATATTCGTAAGCGATGGTCTCGTGGTTTGCGAAGCCTATCTCGCTGATGGCCAGAGCACCTTGAAGGTAGAGTCTGTAAGATTTAAGGACTGCTTTTGAATAGCCGTTGAAGCACATAATAACGCACACACTCAACATAGGCCCGCACTAGGAAAACCCTGTGTCGCGGGTACCATGGACACACACATAGTCAACCACAAATTACACCCAAACTCACGAGAGAAATCACGAACTCACGAACCTAGGACCTCTGCGTGGCAGTGCGGCATGGTAACCGTTCGGCCACGGAGGCAGTTCAATGTTAATGTTAAGATGATGGTAACCAACTAACTTAAAATACTGATAAAATGACATAACTAGAGCATCTTACTGCAGCAAAATAAAACTAGAACTAGCACATATCAACGCAGCAATTCGAAGTTCATTATTTTACACACGTAACCGTACATGGAGGTTATATAATTTCAAAAATAATTTTAAAAGCATGGTTCGAGTTACATTAAAAATAAAATATTATTTAGCGATGACTATATATTGTATTTTTCTTTTGTTTTTAATCTCTGGAGGTGTAAGGAATGTCTAAGTCTTGTTCATACAGAACAATAATTTCTAATTTAAATATTAAATATTAAAACAAGAAAATAATTTAAACTGAATAGATAAATGGGAACGAAACGTGGAACAATGCGTAATCACAGAAGACACGATCGTACGCAAACAGGTAACATTCTTAAATCTTCAAGCAACATTCCACTGTATTGCTTAGACAATAAAGTTGAAATTGCTTTAATTATTTCTTTGTCCAATAGGTAAAATGGCTCTCAGAACCAAAAGGTCGATTTGGGCATGTTTGTGACTCATATACATCTCATGTATATGACTGTACAATGTATTTCGTAGGCCTATACCTAGCAGTGGGTGTTAACGTGCTGAGATAATGATGATTTCGTATTATTGTTATGACATATCACGTGATAAAAGCACTTTTGACATATATGACGTGCGACTTTATAATACCAAGGGTATGTAATTTGAGTGTAAAACTTTTAATAACATAATGTTAATATCTCACCTTAGAGGTAATTCAGCTAACTCAGCTTTCACCAGCATACTGATTGTTTGATGACAGAACTGGAATATTTTCTGACATTTCTTCTCCCACATGTCATCCTGGGAACAGATAATAATAGTTTTAATAAACATTTGGCATATCATTTAATAAATTATAGCCTGTATAGCATGCATTGAGTAGCATTCCTTTCAATTATGATATCTCCAAGCCGCTTTTTTCAAAATAACGATCCATTGGTACATGTTTACAACTAACCTCTTTCCACAAATATTTGTATACAAAACCGATTCGATAAACATAGAACACTAACTTAAACCAACCACCGGTTTAGCCCACTGTTGGTCATGTTTACGTCTAACATCTTTCTACTAATCTTTGTAAAATGACCTAGTCCAGAAACGTGGAACACAATTAGTACCTTAATCTGCTACTCTTTCAACCCACTAAACCAATAATGTGTGTTTACAAATAACATCTTTCTGCAGATTTATGTAAGCAGAAGTGAATCAGTAAACATGGAATTCTATTGATATCTTAACTAACAACTAGTGTATGTTTACAACTGACCTCTTTCTGTAAATCCTTATAAACAAAAGCAAGTCGATAAGCGTGGAACAGTAAAGGCGGGAAAGAATGTTGTATGCGTCTTGCACCTCCGCCTTGTAACGCTTTCCGAGCTGCGCTTAAAATCAGGTATTGTTGATCCGCAGAGTCCGACTTGAAGTGATGGATTAATCTATATTGAAAAGTTAGGCTAATTCACAATATAATGATTTGAATAAGTAATCTTACATTTTAAAATAAGCTTGCCTTTATTGCAATTTCACATATTCAAAATTTGAGTACGAGGAAACAAAATTTCTTGTAGACAAAAAAAATTTGGCAATCTAGTTTAACTACAAGATAAAAATGGCTATTTAGGATGCTGATAAGCAATGACGTGTTAAACAACATGACCATAGTTTTGCAAAAATGACGATGAATGAAGATTTTGTCGTTGTTTTTGATAGTTTTTTCTAAAAAGACTTGTACGAAACTACACAATGTACATACATTATACAATTAGGTGTCATTTTTGTAAAAAAAACAATGGTCAAGTAGGTTGGCACGTTATAGCTTACCAGGATCCGTTTAATTGTACTCTGCATAACTATTTTATTCCGGAAAATTGTATTATTATTCAAAGACGTACCTTGCCAACAATCCCTGCTCCTCCATAAAGTCTTCGACGTCTTCAGGTTCCGTGGTCGCTTGATCAGGTTGGTCTTTGACTAGTACATCCAGCATTGATAAAACTGATTCGACCTGTAATTATAATATTTAGTTAAGCTCACCCTTTTAACATGGTCCACTGTGATTAATTATGAGTCCAGGGATGATAGCAGCAGCGTTCAGAATCGTAAAAAAAATGTTATGTGATAACGAAATTCAATTCGAAAAATAACGTTTATGTACGTAACGTGTAACGTTAACTGACAAAATAGGTTTTAAATAATAACGCATGTGACCCAGCCAAATATGTCATTCGACTAGTTACAAATATACCATTTGATTTGTATCAAATACGCCATTTGGCTAGTGTCCAATACACCATTTGGTTTGAATGAAATATGCCATTTGGCTAGTCTTCAATATACCATTTGGTTTGAATGAAATATGCCATTCGACTACTTACAAATATACCATCTAGTTTGTATCAAATACGCCATTTGACTAGTGTCCAATATATCATTTGGTTTGTATCGAATATGCGATTTGGTTAGTATCAAATATACCATTTGGCTGATAATAATGGCTGGTGCCAAGTATGAACTAAATCTATTTGATATTAAAAATAATATATGTATTCGTTTCATTTTGTACGTTTATTATATGTAAATTTATTTCGTCAGATAGACAATAAAAACTTACATCTTCAGGTGTAGAAATCAAAGTATCACTTTCAAGCACGTCATTGATCAAGTGAACAGCTATCATGATGCGGCCAGGGTGATTCAGGTGTTTGATCAGAGGAGCGTAATGTTCAAGCTTGATAAGGGTCAAGATGTTCTTATAGTTATCAGCAGGTAGTTTCAATATTTTCATCAGTTCTTTGAAGACTGGAGTGTTGTGTTCTAAATGAATTTTGCCACTGAAATTAAAACGTGTTGTGTTATTCAGTAGCAGCAGTTCCTTGTGAAAGAGTTCGAGGAGGGAAGTACTTGCCTCCTTACATACCTATTTCAAGAGACAAGCAGTAATGTTCACATTACTGCGTTTCGATTTTGAGGGTAATGGTGGTGGCGACATTACAGGCACATGAGACTTGTCAACTTATATCTCAATGCCCCTCAGATCTTTACGATTTAAAGCTTAGAGTGGCACTGCAACTGTTATGGAAATGCGTGTCGCTTACCTAAGCTACTCTTAGGCATATTTAAGGATGCCGCGGCATAATTGCCATCAGTGTGCGCTTGCATGTTGTAGGGATGGCGAAGGATCCACTGCCGAGCCATCTTGTCAGTTGGCGACGAGCCTTACCCTTCAAAACGAGAACACAGTAATGCTGACATTACTGTTTGGCGGCAGAATATAGGTAAATACGGTGATCAAGTGACCAGAACAGGACTTAACGATCTTGAACCATAACTTAAATCCTGAGAAATATTTATTAGGAAAGGGCGGGGAGGGTATGACATATAGGTTGTAACATACCTATTCTGATGAATATCCTGGCAAATCTTATCCGTGTGAGCCAGCACCCGGTCAACATAAGACAGCTTATCCGGGTGGCAACGCTGTGCCAGCTTCAACAGCGCGAGTTGCAGACTCAACATGTCCTCAGCCGGCATGTCGGTGCGGCTTTGAGTTATTGCAGCCACTTGGTCGGAGAATACTTCAAAAAGTTGCACCTCTTGTTCTTTGCCGTCTTCTGTGGTTACGCTTAGGTTGATGTTGCCTTCGTTTCTCTGTCGAAAAGATATTAGATTTTTTTTTTCTTTATTTATTCAAGAACTTTTGTAGAATGTACATGTCAGTTCTATCATATTCTAATAGTTTACATATCTATAAAGTAAACCCAGGTAAAATTGAAATAAGTAATAACGTACACACTCATAGCCCCACATTAGTGTGACCAGGTATCGCCGATGCTATGGACACACACATAGACAACCAAAAATTACGGCCAAACTCACGAGAGAAATAAATGTAGGCCATAATTTTTTTTCTCCCGGCTCGGGAATCGTACCTGAGACCTCTTGCGTGGTAGTCCAGCATCGTGACGGTCAGTAAACTTCGAATTATAATTATTAAAGCGACATCTCTAGTCAGCCACTGGTAGCTGTAAAGGAACCTGGCAGAGTGAACAAAAACTTTCGTACATTTCTCACAGATGGCGCTACAGCAAATAAGTCGTTCAATAACCCAAAAACAAAAATCTGCAACAAGCATATCGACTGTGAACTGGCAATCGGTACTATCTCAATTTTGACAACTTAACTGCATGAAGAAAATAAATGTTTCTCGTAGTTTTTAGATATTTTTATTACACATGTATGTATGTACACTACGTATTTTTATTTAATAAACCAGATGCTATATAAATGATTTTTTCTTCATCATGTAAAGTTGTCAAAATTTAGATTGTACCGGTTGCTAGTTCACAGTCGATATACAAAAATTCCTTGAGTCTGCTGGTTCGTTCCGTAGCTTATTATTATACTATATAATTTATAAGGATATAATCACTCATTGAACATAATTACTAAGAGGTATAACAACAAAAAGCATAATTTCAATGTGTATAATAAACCTTCAGAATAACAAACATTAGATATAATGATTAGGTAACATAATGAACTAATGGTATAAGTATTACCAGTATAATGTATTAAATAATATAACACATTATATGCCAACTACGGAAGGTACTAGAGAACCTACGGTTTCTTGTTTTTAATGACTTTTTTGCCGTAGCGCCATCTGTGAGAAAATATGGGTTATGCTAAAACATACCTGGCTATAAGCGGCGAGTCTTTCAATCAAGGCAATAATAATGTTCTTAATGTTAACTCCAGGCTGTAATTCAGCGCAGGACTTAAGGAACGGCTGAAGGTTTGCCAGGTGAAACTCATCCGGGAACACCTGGAATAGTTTATATGAAATTCAGCAATGTAACGAAAGTATGTCTTCTTAGCATGCCGACTCTGACGTTTATATTTGTGAGGACCAGCACTTAGCGGCCGACACAGCATTATTTATATATTATTCTTTTTATTTCATTATTTATGATCAGGTTACACAGATTTAAACTCTAAACGTACTTCACAATATCTGCAGACTTTGTGAAGTAATGAAGTCTGAATTATAAGTGGCATTATACAGGTCCTCGCGTGCGCAGGTATAGAGACACGCAAGGCAAAAGATGTGCCATTGTCCGAGGAGAGATGCCACATTATGGAGCTATAACCCCACCTGCGCATGCTCTCCCTGCTTCGGTCAATTTGGTTCCACAACCTATTTAAAGACTTCCAAGTGTGCCAAGATAGATCATGCCCAGGAGGTAGGTGCTCTGTCAGCGGAATGAGTGATGCCGTGTGTAGTGTATGTGGATTGTCTAAGATTTGTCTCGATCGCACACGTCGCATGGTGCGGGTGGTAGGAGTCAGTCTGTGTTCGACCGTCAACTCGGAGACATGTGGTGGTGCGTAGGCGTGCCAAATGCCAATACGCTATTACTTGTAGGAGTGGACACTATAAATGGGGACTAGGGTAAAGAATTAACCGTAAGTAAAAAAAAAAAAATTACAGTCACCCCTCCACACCCGCACATGTGACGTATGCGCAAGAGACAAATCATAGACAATCCACATACACTAATAATTTCACATAATGATCAAAGTGGAAGTAATTATCATTTCGTTGTTTGGTACCTCATAATTCACACATTTTGTACCTTAAACTATTTTACTCCTTTTCTATTATTGATTTTAAGGCTTTCGTGGCTATTCACTAAATGATTATCACTAATTACAGGTTTCTTGCCAAGGTATGAGAAACACCGTGGGGTAGTAGTTAGTTTCCCCGTCCAGACGGAATACTTCTTTAATGAAGCTATGGCTACTCTTTAGCCTCTAGATTACCGGCACGTGATGGTGTAAGGGCCGGGAAGAAAGTCAGTAATCCATAGTGTAAACGGGACGTACCTGTATGATACACTCCATGAGGTATTCCTGTGCTATGGCGTCCCGACAGCTGACCACCTGTTCCAAGATTCCAGGTAGAACTAAACGCCCATAGTCATCCACTGTGACGGATTCAAGTTGGGACAATCGGACTAAATTAGTGCCAACTAAAATGCGTAGTTCCGAACGCTCGCGTTCACGGCGCTCTTTATCTCTGAAATTTTTAAATATATAAAGGTACTACCCGCTACATCGTCTGCGTAGAATAAGCACCTATTACGTTTTGTTTTCTAATTATTAGAGAAACTATTTGTTGAACTATATTATGTACCTATGGTATTTCTGCTTCAGTACTAACCTGGAGTGTCCTTGGTGTTGCATCCTGACCCATAACTTGTTCATTTCAGCGAAATTCATGAGCACGAAGTCTATCGCGTCACGTACCTAAAATTACAAAGAATAAAATAACTACTTTACTTTAACTTTAACTTTACTTTAACTTTAACTACTTAAATAACTACTAATAAAATACTTTTTATTTATTCATTACGTTACATTGTCCAAACACATTTATCATTACAGATATATATCCAAATCGATAATGTCAAATCACATCATTATTAAAATTAATAAATTACTAAATAAATTTCATTCAAATAATAAAAAATTTAAACATTTCAAGTTCTTATACCTATTTCTTATATATAGTGTCAAGGGCTACTTCTGCGAATCTCGACATCGAACAACAAAAAATATCCGTTTCTTTAGAAATTTTATTTAAAAGACGTAAAGCAGTAGTGAGCGGCGCGTACTCCAGCACTTTGGTCCTGCACGGCGGCAGTGCTAGAGTCTGCTGTCCCACGTCACAGCGTAGGCGCGTATTTGGCACGAGAAGGCCGATTGCTTCCAGTTTATGATAATTTATGATACGAGTATTTGGCTTTCTGTTTTATACCCTGAATAATTTCAGCGGTATACCACTCCGGGTAGGAGCGCGTTCTCTTTTTTATAGACCTACGCTGAGGTGTGCAGCTCAGCAGCTGCACACTTTATATAAGGTGATCAGCTGATGCTGCCTTTATAAAGTTGAGTAGAATAAGTCCACTGTATCGTTTACATTATTGATTCCATACAAAGAACGCCAATCAATTGTACTTAATGATGTGTATAACATTTGGAAATTGCATTTAACAAGTTCCATTTTACATTATATTTATTATTATTAATTCTATCAACACTAAAAACATAAGGAAGCGGCTCACGATTCTGTACATTTTTGTTTCTCATTTTAGAACAATATATGCTTAGTGGGGGATGATGCGGATCGGGGGATGCCAAGTTGTCTAATTCTGCCTGTATATTCATCTGATAGGTGTGTAAGTTTGATAGTACTACATCCAAGATGCGGTTACTACAATTAGTGATTTATTGACGAAATTCGCAGACAGTAACAAAAAACTCATAATAACATTGTACCAGACTCGCGGAGTACATATTAAGATCACCAATTAAAATGAAATTGAAGTGAAATAGGTGCAAGTAATCACAGTCCCTACTATTTGGTGGGATTTATACTACACAACGCCCGTCCGCGCGGTCGCAACGCACCACGCCGTATCCGCGCGGGGCCACTTCCCCGTCGTGGACAGATTTATTTAGACCGCTCTCAGTTATTGCCCATAAATCCGCGGGAGATGTATATATATTTTCATACAACATTGATAATGTGCTCCTAAGCCCTCTAGTGTTTTGGTAGTATATATGTACCTTTAATAAAACCGTGTAATTTTATTTTCATTGACATGGTCCACTCTATTAGTCTCGAAAAAAAATATCAGTTTGTGTTGATACGGTCTCTACTTTTTTTCTACAATTTTTATTCTAAGTGAATTGTTTAATAGTGTGCTCTAATGAAAAAATATCTAATATAAGCCATCTACACGAATTTGATCTGTCCAATTGATTATTTCTGTAAAAACTTAATTTCGAGTAGTGAAAATTCTCCATACAACTTATTATCTCAATTAGTTCATTTAATTTAAATTTATTAATATATTTGTTTTTACTTATTATAACATTAGTGTTATTAAATGCATTAATGGAGTTGTATAAGGCAGATTGAAACTTCATTATATTATCGTCATGAGAGCCAGCCAATATTTATTTACTTAACTTATTGTCATGATTCAATTCATTTTGTCGCGAATTATTTAATTTTAATAACAATAATAATTAAGATTTTTTGTAAAACATCTCCACTAGTTTTGTTATGAGCACAAAGATCGAACACACAGAAGGCTGCGGTGAGAAGGATATTCAGAAGTCTCTCACAAGATGTCGTGCGAGATTTTTTAATATCCTGAGAACATTCCCTTCTACCAATCCCGGGTCTTCTCGGAACCGATTATATTTGAATATGCGTATTATTCATTGGAATTTGAGTGAGTAGTACATACTTACAATTTGTTTGTATTAAATATTTGCTACAAATTATTATCTCAAAAAATAATACTGAAATTGTGTTTCTATAGATACTTGAGTATTGAAATAATTTAGACATTTATGACGGCCTCGGCGGGTGAGTGGCTTGCACATCGGTGTATATATGTATATACATATATAGTTATTATATATATTAAATAAAAAATTAACTTTAGACAACCTATATTTTTGAACTTTTATAAAATGTCTATTCACAAAGAACACTCGTTCGTGTTAACGAACTGTGCCTTAAGATTGAGTAACAGAGTTTAGTCAATGCGACACGATTTGAATATTGTAATTTGCTTACGTCTAGAACAAAAGATTATTTATGAATTTTGAATACACTAGCTCCTGACACTAATCCTATAGAATGACAAGTAATCTCTATATCGTTACGACCATTTCAACAAAGTTTTTTATAAACACCCACATAAAATATAATAAAAACATTCTTTCCTTCACAACTAGATGGCATTGATCGTTTTTAAAACGCGCTATCGAAGTGTTACTTTTGATTGTACATAAGCTTTCAATTGATTTTGATATTTTATGATAATGGGTCGTTTGTGGTCACACTGTACAACCTTTTTGTCTAGCACGGCTACGACTTTCTTCGTAGCCCAGTAAAAACTGTGGTACCTTTTAGACATCTTTATTTATTTGGTTCTCCAATAATAAGTACAATAATAGAAAACATAATACAATTGCCCCGTTTAGGGACACAGTATATAGTATATACTGTACTCATGAGTTGCATCGCATAAAAATTATCGTACTCATAAAAGTATCGATACCTTGAAGTATCGATAGCTTGAGGTATCGATACTTTTGTCCTGCAGATTTTCCCTACATAAAGGCAGAATAAAACACATAACACACAAAATTTGTCTTTTTTTATTAATTTACGATTTTTAATTGAAACAAATAGTAAAAGAATTTGATTAATTCAATCAATTGTCATTTCACATATCTTGTGTTACTGAATGTTCCAGTTTCACTCCTTCTCTGTACAATCACTTAAAAACAAAAATCTATTTGGCGACGATCTGTTCGTTTTTGATACGTATTGTCTGCTTTTGAGAATAAACGTTCTGAAGAAGGGACAAACTTCTTCTAAAGAGGCAAGTGGTGGCATACAATATACAGCCAATTAATTTGTGATAAAGGTTCCCATTTAAAAAATCGCTAGGTGGCTTGCGTATACGAGGTATCCTAAGTAGGAATTATTCGAAACGATACGTTGCTTCTGCCGTACGTTAACTAAATATCTGACAAAATCATTTTTAAGATATTGTAAAAAAACCATAACCCAGTTTTACAATATTGAAATTATTTAAACATATGATAGCCAATCATCATTAGGGTAAGTTCCGATATATCCAATACGTTAAGCAACTTTGCCTGTTTTGAAATATAGAATTTTGAGCTCTATCTTATGGTGGTTAAAACGGATATTTGACGGCAGACTTGTCAAAAAGTACTAATACCTGAAAAGTATCGGATGAAAGCATTCGAGTACAAAAGTATCGGTATCAGATGGCAGTGTTAATAAAGAAAATAGAAAAAAAAATGTGGACCGAGCCTTCTTTTCAACCGACTTCAAAAAAGAAAGAAGTTCTCCGACTCCGACAAGAATCCGACTGCATTTTTTTCGTATTTATGTTACGCGATAACTCCGGCTAAATTTGTAGGACAGACTAGGGGATGATTCCGGATTCGCGCACTTTCCAGTAACCGATTCCAATAAAACTTGGCATATAGATGTAATTCTACGAATTTTTCAGGTCGGGTTTTTTTGTACTCTGCTAAGGTTAGCTAATATAGCTTTTAACACTCACAGTGCCTTCACTTTCATTCTCGGCTTCGGCGACGTCAGGCAGCACGTTCCTGGTGCACTGCAGAAGGTAGTTCCTCAGGAAGAGCCCTCTTAAGGGGTGTTGTACACCGCGACACATCTCCACTAGGTCCTAAAATAGTACAAGTTATAAAATTCTAAGAATTAAGGATGCCTTCAAATAAGATGCTTGTAGCTCGGCTACTAATTTTCATAAAATATAGTAGCAGTCTACTGCTACTATATCCTTGTGATAGAGTTCATGCAAGAAAGTATTGCCACATTATCTATTTCTGCCGCGAAGCAGTGATGTGAGTATTAGGGCGCATTCCAATTCGTCGTTTTCAGCCGCGCTGCAACAGCGCTGTAGCCGCGCGTCGGCCGCGCGATTGTCACTTTTCATACAATTTCTAGAAGCGCTGCAACCGCGCGGCGGCCTCGCTACAGTCACGCTCGGTCGCAGTCACGGTTAGTGAGGTACAAGTTAATTTTTCCAATTAACTACGATGGATGAAAATAGAAGTTTGTGGAAGTGACGAGTTGAAGAATTTATAGAGAATGCAAAACAACAGCCTGCAATATGGGACATCAGTTCCGCCAGCTATTCTAATCGACTGGAAAAAAAGCATGGGAAAATTTATGTCTAAAATTTGAAACTAAAACTACAAATGAAAATAACAGCAGATGAGTCATTTTTAATACTTGTACATGAAGTGTGTGTCCCAAGAACTCTAACTATATTGCCGAACCTTGTAGTATTCATTTTCATTATTTTGACAAAATAAAGGTAACGAACCGATTCTAATACGTAACGGTATTCTTTTTAATTTTTTTTCTTCAGTTTTAACAAAATAAGTAAAGGTAACGTTTCTTCGTCAGAATCCATCGTGTAACTGAGTCGAAAGATAAAACATCACTAAAAATTTGGTCGCACTTCAGCAGCGCGACAGTCGCGCGGCTGCAGCGCGTCTGACAGCGGCTAATTTGAACGCGCCCTTACTGCGTTCTGGTTTCGAAAGCTAAGTGTGCTGGTGAAATTACAGGCACATTGGACAAGTCCAGGGAAGTACTGCCAACTTACCTATTCTGCCGCCAAGCAGTAATGCTCACATTACTGCGTTCCGGTTTCGAAGGGTAAGAGTGCTGGTGAAATTACAGGCATATGGGACTTGTCAATTTATGACTCAGGGTGACGGGCACAGTGGCAGTGCCATGGGTAGGCGTGTTATGATGGATAGGCGTGTCGCTTATCATCAGGCGCACGACTTGTTCGTCCCGTCACTTGTACATAAATGTAGGCCATACAAATTTTTCTGCCGGCCCAGGAATCTAACCCGAGACCTCTGCATGGCAGACTAGCATGCATGGTAACCATTCGGCCACGGAGATTCTTTAGCAGACTAAATGATCGCGTAACATACACACAAGAAATTACAGTCCAATTGGACTTGTTTTTAAAAAAGTCGTTTAATAATAAATACAAAGTAGTTAGTACCTTCAACAAATCACGTCTCAAATTGGAATTGGTCTTAATATAGACCAGTCCTACAGTAATGAGCAGGTACAGTCTCGGTACGATGTTGCCAGCGTACTGTACTAACTCATACAAGTCAGCTACTTTGCGACCTTTTTGAAACTCTTCCAGGAGATACAGCTCTAGGTGGCGCAGTTCGTCTGTTATTGCCATATCTGAATTTTGGAGTTAAGTACATTTACGGAAAGATCACATTAAACCAACCTGAGAAATAAATAAATAGAATATAATTATTTATTTCATATTATAAATGTCACAATTCTAAGTGTCACAATATTACAATCTATAGATCAAGCATGAAACAAATACTGTCCTAACTCAAAAATGATGGAATTGAGAAAACACTAAATAATTTAATATATTTAATAAAAAAAAACCCGAACGCACGCACGCACGCACGCACGCACGCACGCACGCCCACCGCCGTTTGCGCGTTGTGTTTTAGTAGTAATCCCATTAGCCAGACCATCAATCTGGCCAACGGGAAATACCGGTATATAACACAAGTAAAAATTTTACGCAGACGAACTCGCGGGCAACTGCTAGTATATTATATGATGTTGAGGGATAATATGATAATTACTAACATAAATGATAATAAAGTCAATTCTCTTGTACCTGGTGATTGTGTTATCTAACACAATTGTTATCAAGATGTTTTCCTCAACTAAAAGAAGAACTTTAGCTAAATTTTTTAAATTAGATACTGCACATGACTAAAAAAGACTACAACACGAAAATCAGAAAGACATTCAGTAACTTGTACTTTCATTTCAACATAGCACCCCACAATAATTGTTGAATAGCAAAACCTATTATAAGGATTACTGGAACCCTTAAAATTACTAAGCGGAAAACTTTGTACTAGTGAAATCCTAATGGCGCCTTCAAATTAGACGTTTATTTTAGAGCCTTGCAGTGGCGCCTACTAATTTTTATACAATATTTAAACATTAAATACACAGAGAATGGGTGCGCGTCGGGTGCAGGTCGGGTGCGGGTCGGGTGCAGGTCGGGCGCGGGTCGGGTGCGTGTCGGGTCAGGAATTAAACACGCCGTGCTCCCGACCCGAAACGCGCCTGAACCAGACCCGCAGTCAGTGTGTTTCACGCTTAAACCGGGACGGGTCCCGCGCCCGTTCGTGTTGTACTATCGTCCATATAAATACACGGAATTACACCCACCGTGCACCCGACCCGACACGCACCCGACCCGCACCCGTTCTCCGAGTGTTTCACGCTTTAGAAGCGCAGTTGCAAATATACTGTCGTAATACGCGCACACTACTTTGTCCTACAAAGGCACCAACGATAAATAAACAGAAGAAGAAATATCAAATGCTTTCGAAAAATATTTAGTGATTCAGAAATTTAAACATAAGGAAGGCTAAACATTTTCACTAGAAAGGTTAGATCGATATCTCCAATGAAAACTACGCCCGCTTAATCTTTGGATCTGTTCTGTTTTTATTTTCTTTTCTTTTTCAAAATTTTGTTTTTTGTTTCTTTATTTTTGGTGTAGTGTTTATCGGAGGTACTGAGATATGAAAGGCCTGAATTATGAGTTAACAGTTTCGGCTTTAAGGATTAAGAGTCAAGCATTCCCCAAAATGGCTGTCACTTGAAAAGGATACAAAGTTCATAATAGCACTTGGGTGACAGCAGTGAAGTCCGTAACTCCCCAAGCATGGTTGATGCATGTTTGAGAGCATCCATAAGTTTAGACTTATCCAGACACCTTTTCATTTGGAATGCCTGAAATAAAAGATTCATACAAAATTAAATTATTTTATCGGATTTAATGGCTCACAAAAGAACACACTCATAGCCTCACACTAGGGAATCCCTATACACATAGAACACCACAAATTACACCCAAACTCACACAAGAGAAATAAATCCTAGTCCAGGAATCGAACCCGGGACCTCGAAACTAACCCAAAGAACGTAATAAAACATTTATATTTTTTTGCTGTATTGTAAAACCTGAAACTACATATTAAAACATCACAACAAGTTTCTGAGAACACTTGCAAGCCGGTTCTGTACTCAACAGACAACTTTTTTAAATCTATTTCTTATTAAAGCTTGCTTTGTGAAGACAATCATTGTTTCACATCTGCGTTAAGACATTTTCATGTTAGGTTTTACCTCGTAAATAGAACCAGTAGACTTGCCAAAGTATGTTTGACCCTGTCAATGAGAGACTCAGTACAATGGTTGACCCGGTTACTGATCATACCAGCTTGAATTGAATTGAAATTAGTTTACTATCATTGAAAGTTTTTTAAATAATACGATCGACGGGACGGACAACTCGTGTGCCTGATGGTAAGCTAGACACCTGTCCGTAACAGTTGCAGTGCCACTCAAAGCTTTAAATCGCAAAGTTCTGAGGGGCACTGCCACTGTGTCCGTCACCCTGAGACATAAGTTGACAAGTCTCATGTGCCTATAATTTCACCAGCACCCTTATTCTTCAAAACCAGAAAACAGTAATGCTGACATTACGCCTTGGCGGCAGAAATGAAAGTATGGGTGACAATAACAGTGAATAAGGCACTTTAAACCAGTCAAAATGGCCACATTTAATATAAGGACACTAAAGTGCAGTACCTACAATGTACATACATATAAATAAATTTTGTAATACTGCCTGTTGGAAGGGGCTGGAAGTTCTTACTCCACAAATTGTCTTTTATAGATTTATACTTTAAAATAGTATTTCAAAAACATGCATACTACTAATTTGTATTAAAAATATTCATCAATACTAGGTTTGTTTATTGTACTAAAAATTCAGGATTTCCTGTTTTGTGGGCCAACATAACAACAATAACAAAAAATTAATTATTAATTACCTGGACTTTGACAACATTGAGTGCCTCATCTAGGAGCTTAACCTGCTCCTCAACGGGAGACGCTTGGTTAGTCATCTGTGCCTGGACATAAAAACACCAATTTTAAAAAATTGCACCAAATTATCACGACATAACACCCGAAAAGTTGTCATAAACATTAAAGGAACTAACGTTGGACCAAATGTATATAAAAGGATGGTTCCACGTTTCCATTTTGGTTCATTTGTAATCTACTAACCTGCGGTGTCTGGTAAACAAACAGAAAGTGCTGATAACGATATTTAAAAGGATAATTGTGGAAAAATCTCGAGTGGGTGTTTTTGATTACATCCACGATTTTTTTTTTGTCAACATGACAGCTTGACGGTGCTTGACAGATAGATATTATATTAAAGCTTAATGCATTTGACAGTGACACCCGGTTTCTATGAACGATAAACGTATACGGCATACCTACTCTGTATAAAAATATCACTGTAATGTTGGGTCATAGAACGATTTCCATTTCGAAAAAATCATATTTTTCAGGAGAGTAAGTATTTTTCCGGATATTTTTCCAATATTTATCTCTTTTTTTTTCACGTTAGACGTTGACATCTATCAAATGTTGAAGTTACTGGACGAAATCGATGCAGCCAACAAGAGGTGATGATGGTGTGGTTGTTGGAAGTTTATTGAGAAATCATTATAATTTTAAATTTTTGGTTAAATGTATGAAAAATATATATAATTTACACGGACAGCCATAATTTCAACTTATTACTAGTTTTTACTAAAGGTAGGTTATTAATTAGTGTACATTCCTATTAGCTTATATTAGCTTAAATTAGCACTCATATCAGCTTGGTGCAGCAAGCGAACAGCTAGCCAGGTGAAGACTGAAAATCAGCAATGCTGAGTCTTTAACCTTTTTGTCCACATCACTCAAATTTTTTTTCTATTTGTTTTTTAAGTATTGTGTTCTTTATGTTTTGTGGAAAAATAAATACCTTTTTATTTTTTATTTATTTTTTTATTTATAAACGTCGTTTTTATTTTATGTGACTTAAACATAAACAAGTTTATTTTATATTTCACGCTAAATAAAACTTCAAAAGATATTTCAAAACGTAGAAACAGGAGTCTTCGAAATTATAATTTCCATAATTCTCGAGAATTTTTGGAAAACTAGCCAACACAACAGTATTATATGGTCAAGAGCACGTCAAGTTTGACACATAAGACTTAAATCCGACTCTATGACAGTTACTATAAGAACGGTCCACAGTACAAAACGTCAAGTTTGACGTGCTCTTGACTATACAACTTGAAAATGTTATCCCTCTATGGCAGCATTGATTTTGTTTGAACTGTCAAAATTTGACATTGACATGACTGACGAGACACTTGAATTGAATTTGTAGTGATTCGATAAAATATAAATAAATGAATAATCAGTAAATATGGATAACAAACCGTCTCTAAGTCAATATTTCTCCGACTCAGAGGCTCCGCCTGTGTCTCAATTCTTTGATGAGATTGGAACGTCGCCGTCCGACATGATTCAGAGTGTTTACTTAGGTGACAGTGAAGGTAAAGTTTTGTGTCAAATTTCGCTCTGTATACCTTCAACATGTAAAATTTTAATATTAAAATATAAGGGTAATCATCTTAAATTTTAGACACGATGAACCAAACAACAGCACCTATTCTCTTTCCACAAAATATGACCGCCTCTTTCACACAACATAGAATTGATCCAGACGTTACATTTTCTAACGTCGTGCCTACTGTAAGTGGTTCAACGTCGGTGCCAGCGACCAGTTTACCGGACCCTTCTACGTTCTTCGATACTATTGGCCCGGAACCTCAGATTGGACCAACAAAAAGTGGTATTGCAAGTCCTAATACGCTTACAGAGGCTATGGATGGACTCAGCATCAAGGTATAACTTTTATTATTATTTAATCTTATATATATATTATTTATATATGTGTAATCAAATCAAATTAATGGAAAACAATAGAACATTCTACTAAAAAAAATAATTAAAATTAAGCTATAACTGGACCAGACTTTTTTGTTTTTTTATTATAACTTGTGCATTTAAGAAGTTATAATATTTTTTACCATCTCCATTGTGTACTATATTTTAGAACCAACCAGTTGATAAGGAAGCAGACAGAAGAAGAGATGCTTGGCTTCCTGATGAAGAAGCTAAAAAAACGCTTATGAAGGTAATTTAAAAGTAAATTAACTTTGCTCAATTATTTACAGTGCAAGGTGGCCCGGTATTGGTCTACATTCCCCAACAGTCACTTGTCAGTATAGTCCATTTTCCCAGTTAATTTGATAGAATTTAGACTATCTTTATTTTTAAATTGTTAAATTGAAATAGACAAATTCTCAGGAACAATTCTGATGTTAGGAGAATATTAGTTTATCTAAAAGTGCCTCTTTATTGCAGTTGTGAATAGCTCTAAAATATAGTTTATATTATAATAAATAAGAGGAGTAAAAACTAAGATCAATACAAAATACGAAAAAGAATATACAAAATAATTTATTTGCAAATTAAATTGTGTAAGTACATTACAATTTAAATTATAACAAACAACCAGTAACACAAATCAATTGTAGCATAAATCACGTACAGATGTAGTGAATAATCCTTTCCTTTCGTATTTTCTCGGAAATGTTCGTTTTGTCTTACTACTTCACTCGCACTCAGTACCCCTCGAGACAACGTAGGGAAAGGTCGCATTGCAAGAGGAAGTATCTATATAGAGTAGTTAATACCACAGAAATATATTTATGTTAGATTTTGTGATAAACTTCATGGACTCATGTATTAATGCAGGCCACCTATATTTTGATAGACCTTTTACATGTCACTCTTGTCTGTCATTTTTGTAAATAATAAACATTGATTTTATTCGATCCACATTAACAATTTATAACAGACATGCCGAAAGCACTAAGAAAAGGGAAACGTTTAGATCGGCAAGCCTGCGAAGTTATTTTCAATATTTATTTATATTTCTTAACTGAAAATGATAAATTCAAACATACCAACTATACTGCTTACTTTTGTAAAGTCCAAAAACGAGTTTCGGAGGCCAGTGGAATTTCTCAACGAACAGTAAATAAAATATTGCAAAAAGAATACATAAATCAATCTACCTCCAATAGTCCGAAGTCGGCAAAGTTGGGTAGACCAAATAAATTATTTTGTCTAGGTCTTGACGATTTTGACTACAACGTTATACGCCGATTAGTGTATAATTTCCATTTGATATACAAACAAGTACCTACAATGAAAGCCCTGAAGTCCATGTTATCCGAAGCCATAAATTTTAAGGGATGTGACTTTACGCTAAGAAAAATTCTTAGAAAAATGGGATTTCGGTATAAAAAAGTTGAAAACAACAGAAAATTACTTATCGAGAAAGATGATGTTCGTTTAAAAAGAGTAAAGTTTTTAGCCGCGATAAAAAAGTACAGATTGCAAGGGAAACCTCCTAATTCAAATACCCGTAAGCAAGACATGATTGATTGGCTATCCAAACTTAACGTTCCGATTGATCCGTCTTTAACAAAAATTGAAATATATGAAATTATTTGCAAGTACAAACAAGACTTTGTAGAATACTCTATAGATAAACTTATGAACGAATATGGACAGAGCGTACTAAGATTGCCACCATATCATCCTGATTTCAATCCGATTGAAAACATATGGTCTCAAATAAAGGGATACGTATCCAAAAGAAACATCAGTATGAATATGACTACTGTGAAACAATTGGTACAGGAAAAGGTTAATATGATTGGTTCCGATGTTTGGGCCAAAGTATGTGACCACGCCATCAAATGCGAAAACGAGTACCGAAAACACGAACCTGAGTTGGAAAATTATATGGCTAGTTTTGTAATCAACGTTCATGAAAACTCTGACGATGATACACCAGAAAATAGTTCTGAATCTGACTGTGATATGGAAGTTGGAAGTATTGTTTCGCATCACACTGTCCACCCCGCTCCTCCTCCTCTTATCCCGCTGTCATAATCGAAGTCGTTCATCCAATCAGAAAATCACATTTATTTATATTAATTTCTCTGCTGGTTTGTTTTGTTTTATGTTAAGGTGTCTTTTTTGTTATGTCATAGTATTTTTAATTAATTAAAAAAATTAATTGTTATAAAAAAGGTCTGCAAAATCCAACTGTAGTTTTGACTTTTGGGGTTCCAATCCTTATAGAATCATTAGATCATCCCAACCGGAATTTGGTTTTTATCAGTGCGTTTTATTGAAATAAAACGTCCTCGGTAACTAGTTATATTTTTGTTTACCTAACGAATTCTTTATATGATAGAATCGTGGTGGTTTTAACATCTCAGTGTAATATACGTCAAATGGGGCAGTTTGACATTTGACATTGATAAATAAAGTATGTGATTTAATTGATACCTACACGTTTAGTAGCAGTAGAGCTCCTTGTGAAAGAGCTCGTCCAGGGAAGTACTGCCACCTTACCTATTTCTGCCGCCAAGCAGTAATGGTCACATTACTGTGTTCCGGTTGTGAAGGGTAAGGGTGCTGGTGAAATTACAGGCACATGAGACTTGTCAACTTATGTCTCAGGGTGACGGGCGCAGTGGCAGTGCCCCCAAGATCTTTGTAATTTAAAGCTCTTGGTGGCACTGCAACTGTTATGGGCAGGCGTGTAGCTTACCATCAGGCACACGACTTGTTCGTCCCGTTACTTAATGTCATAAAAAAAAAAAAAAAAAAAAAAAAAAACGTAATTTAATAATACAGTAATTCATAGACACATCGGCACCATTCGGGTGTTATCGTTGTACCGAGTTTTGCCGATAGGAAAGGATTATTCACTACATCTGTACAGAGGATTTCCTATGAGTCTTGCACTAGGCAAAGTCTGGCTTGCAGGTAATACATTATTGCTGTTAAAAGAATAATGCCAAACCAAAAAGTTTGTTTTTTAATTTTTGGTAAATTTTACATAGTATGATCAAACATTATTATTATTATATTACAAAAAGACATAGGGATATTCTGTTTGGTTGGAAAATGGTTTTCAAGTGAAAGTGGCTATTTGAATTGCAGATACATTGTAGTATTGTAAAAGCACAACGTGACTGGCAGAGACACCTTAGACTTTACTTATTCATCATCATCATTTCAGCCAAAATATGTCCACTGCTGAACGTAGGCGTCCCGCAAAGAATGCCACAACAATCTGTCCAGCACCCGCACTTTACTTATTAATTGTAACAAATAATGTTTTCAAAAATCTGTTTTAACGAATATTTCTTGTTAATACAATTCCAGAAAAAGTGTGTTTAATTTACTTTTTTATTCCAGGCACAGTCATCACCTAAAGGCTCATTTTTCCCTGAGAGAGAAGTCCTAACCATGCCAGGAATAGTGCTTGAAGAAGAACTGGTAACTAAATATTAATATTCTTGCTCATTTTTAAGAATGTATGGACACCTTAAAAACAAAAATAATGATAGTGTGTATATACGGTAGATAGTAAGTATCATACTTATCACAGACACACTCACACAAAGTAACTGGACTGCTGATAGAGCACATGAAACAGATTAAAAACATGTTTTACATTGTGCGGTGGTGGCTATGATAACCTTCTACTTTCCAATGGCTCTATCAGCTTTTTTTATAATGGATGGATGATGACTGAATCTTGGAAGATTAATTATGGCTTCCTTACACATATTTCTTTGATTCAGGATGTGGGGTATAACTTCATAAGTCTGTTTCCTCCTACTGGTCACTTCTCCTCTTTCTGGGTCGTGACAGTAATTTCTATATCGCCAAGGCAGAATTAAAGTCAAAGAATTAAGACATAATATGGTTTCGTCAATAGGAATCCATTAAATTATATTCAAGACCAGTGGTATGGTATAGTGTAACGGGCTGTTCTCCGCAACTCGACATTCAAGCGCCTATTGTGCCTGTATTGGGTGCAGAGTCCTACTTGTGCCAACCAAGCTCCTCCAAAAATCTCAGGGGGCCTACCACAACCTCTTAAAACAATATTACTTTAACCTTACATTGACTTTTCGTACCATAACGCGCATAAAGTAAGCTTATTGTAATGTTATAACTATGATGTTTTATTGGCAGCTTTGTGACTATTCATTCACTCAGTTCGTACTATGACGCGACTTTAACATTAAAGTAAAAGCTCTTATGTCAAATTTAGCAATCTTAAAATAGTTATATGGATGCAATGGAAATAATGTTATTTTCAGGTTTATTGTCTTAATATTGATTTGTAATTATCAAAAGTGAAGTTGTACTTATTTATTTACATATATCTCTTCAATATTTTGTTTATTTTTTATATAATAGCACATAGTAAATATGTTTTCGTTAAATAAAAATACGCGATGTTTATTTCGTAAAATTATAACAGCGCCGCTCCTTGGCGAAACTAACAGTTGACACAAGAATATAGTCCCGAACTCACAACGTGACTATCAAGACTCAGCTTGTTTTATTTATTTTTCTTCATGAAAATGCGGAATTATTATTGAAAACGACGTAATTTTAATAGATTTTATTATTATATACTTTTCTTAACAGTCAAAATTCTCTGAACGTAAATCACATTAGGTACTTAAACATTATACGATAAGACGGTTCGGAACACCAAAAAAGAAAGAGACGGCATTATATAGTTCACATAGCATTATATCTCTTTCCTATGTTTAGTAAGGAATAGACAATATTGGGAAATCATTCGTTCTTGCAATTACTTTTGCAATAATACATTACTTGGTTGAAAGGTTCGTCATGGTACGAATATGAGTAATATTACAATAGGCTTACTTTAGTCTTACATTGTAATAAGGTTGTTTTTGGAATGGTTATATAGGCCCCCAGCACCCTTCTGGGTTTTTCAAAGACTTCGGGGAGCGACCTCGGCACTACAAGGTATTTTGGCCTGTAGTTGGCCACGCCGGAGCATTGCAGTCCGTGATGCCTAGATTGAAAAGGTGTTTATTATGTGGACCATGACCCATTAGAGCGGCAGTCAGAATGCGAAGCTCTTTTGAGGTTAAGAAATTTACGAGATAGACTGCATAGCACGTATAACCAACCACTTGTGGCTTTATTATACCAAAATTAATAGGCACAAATATTAATACAGGAACCTCAGTAATCGCAAATAAATTGTAACTGTTCCATATATTTTGACTTTGACCAATCGGTTGTGAATATTTGTATAATTGGCTTGGGCCAGTAGTATATAATAGACAAAAAAATGCAAGGAGACATCTTGTTTTGTTAATAATTATAACAAACAAGTGGAGTAATTTCCCAAAAAATTATTATTATTCAATTAAGTTAATAGCGACATCTCTGGCCAAGACTGGTAGTTGGTGAGTGACTGGAACTGGGTGACGAAACACTGTCATAGATTTCTCATAAATGGCGCTACGGCTAAAAAGTCTTTGAAAACCAAATACAAAGAATCCGACAACAAGCACATACAAAAAACCGTGAAGTCCGCTGGTTCGTTCTGTGGGTTAGTTGGCATAGCGTCTGGTATGGTTTGCTAGGAGAATCCGGCCGGATCGACGGAATTTTTCCGAGTGTTCGATCTGTGTATTAATAATTAAAACAAAAACAAATTAAATAACAGAGGGGTTAATTTTTTTTTTATAATAAAATATCTTAATTAATAAAGTAATGCAGTATCAATAAAGTAATGAATCTATGTACCTACTAATTATTATAATTGTGAAATTATTATAAAGAGCGTATTCTATTGCGTAATAACACGTTTAATTTGTGACAATGTAACCTCCTTACATCGGCATCCCACCTTTTTATTGCCTTTTCTCCAGTTCCTGGCCACTCGTTTTTAAATTTTGAATCATTCTTTAATAATTCCTTTGCCTCGCCATTCTGATTTTGATTCGTTACATCGTCACTCCCAGCCCGATCGCGGCAGCGAACAAGTCTTCTCGTTAATTTTTTGAACCGTTTACCAGTTACCAGAAATCTCTTATGCGATAAACATTTTAAAGATCACAAATATTAATGAAACAGGAATATAATATTTATAAAACTGGATTTATTACCATTATTTCTTTACCCTTTTGAATTTTAAACTTTAAACTTACTTAGCAAGATGTATGGAGGCTGTGGAGGCTACTACACTACAACCATAGGACCTGCTAAAGCGGCCCCTACAGAACTTCAGCAACGCGCTTTTCAAATTTAACCGCTCTTTAATTTGTTATAAAACATATTTTCCTATTTCTGAAGTAATATATCGCTTGGTATTTTGTTATATGTTCCTGTTGCTCTGTGATAAGACAGGTAAAAGAGGTGGAGGTATTTAGTATATCCGGTTAAATTAACGTTTCCTCGTAGGCGGACGCTTTACAAGAAGTTGCTGTGAAATATCTCGGCGTAAGTTCAGCGGGCAGCCGTGGCGTCGTACGCGCGGAACACGTTAGCCGCGATGAAGCCGGCCTAAGAGAGCTACTACGAACAGGGTATCTCCGAGCTGCAATCAACCTCACACAAGCTCTGTTAAGCGCCGCGCAACAAGGTTGGTTGAAATAGACCATTAATGTAATGCAAATCACCCTTTTTTTTTCACTTTCGTATTAATATTAGACACAACTGTTTGATGACTAGGTACTTGACTTTACCACGTTTTTTCTGATGGACCGAATCCCTCATAAGGTCATACGTCAGAGAACTGAAGTGATCTACATAGCTTGCAAAATCAGTAAGCTTAAATGGCTGTGGGCCAGACATGTCTGTTTTTATCATATCAAGTGACGGGACGAACAAGTCGTGCAAGTGGTGGTAAGCTATACGCCTGTCCATAACAGTTGCAGTGCCACTCATAGCTTTAAATCCCAAAGATTTAAGTGGCACTGCGCCCGTAACCCTGAGACGTAAGTTGACAAGTCTCATGTGCCGTAAATTTCACCAGCACCTTCAAAACCGAAACACAGTAATGCTGACATTACGACAGAAATAGATAAGGTGGCAGTACGTCCTTGGACGAACTCTTTCACAAGCTACTGCCTGCAGGAGGGTTGATCGCCGATGGAGCAGACAAGAAAATCGTAGTGTAAGACGCCCCGCGGCAAGATGGACGAACGACTTGAGAAAGGTGGCCGGCAGTGCCTGGATGCTGGCGGCACAAAACGGGAAATTTGGCGTGCCCAAGGGAGGCTATGTCCAGCAGTTGATACGTGTAAGCTGATGAGGACTTTACCATCTCAGCCGTTACCATGGGACCTGTAAAGGGCCTAAAACGTTGTTTTGTTTCCGCCGCCATAGTATAATGTGAGCATTAGAGTTGAGTTATTAGTGAGCATCCCTAGAGATTCTTGCTCCTTTTTAGGGGAATCTGCCTTAGGAATTAGTAGTAGAATTTAGTCAATATGACGATTTCAAGTGTAATTTGCTAACCTATCATAAAGCTTATTTGAGTTTGATCTTGAAATACTGCGTTTTGGTTTTGGCGAAGGGTAAGAGTGCTGGTGAAGTTACAGGCACATGGGACTTTTCAACTTAGATCTCATAGTGACGGGCACAGTGGTTGAACCTTTTATATCTTTGCGATTTAAACCTTTGAGCGGCACTGCACTGTTATGGACGCGTGAACTCGTTAATTAGATAATCTTTTCATAGGTGTAGGTCGTATGCATCGCCCGTCAAAACACACACCTCGCACTCTGCAGCTTTGGTTAACACGGTTTGCCGTTATGCTACGGATCAAACTACATGAACCTCTGATTAAAGAAGCCGAACCTTTCGGAGATTTTAGCAAGCCTGATATGTTTTATGAGGTAAGTTATTATAGTAACATTTAGGAATCACACACACATATATAAACAAAACAATAAAGAAACAATAATAAAAAAAGCCCTTGCAGTGTCTTTAGACATTTCTAAAGCCTTTGACAGGGTCTGGCACGCAAGCCTTATAAGCAAGCTTCCCTCTTATGGGCTTCTCACGGATCTTTGCAATTAGATTTCGGATTCCTTGAGTGGACGTTCTATTCGAGTGGTCTTAGAAGACTACTCTTGGGCGGTAGAGTCCTCACGGTTCCGTACTGTCAACTCTCTTTCTGCTACCTATCAATGATATGTTAATTCCAGGTGCCTTTGTGTATATTGATGACAACACAGTTGTGGACAGGTACTTGACCAATGCAAGGGTCAGTTGACAAGAAATCCAGTCTTGCCGAAAGTCCATGGTTAGTCGTTTGAATTTGACTCTTAAGGCAGTCTCCGATTGGGTCGATGCCAATCTTGTCAAATTTAATGCTACCGAAACGCAGTGTCTATTCTTCACAAAACGGAGTCCCTTTCACCTGACTCCGACTTTTCGTGATATATGCATACCGGTAGCCGAACGTCCGGGTTTTGGCACGCTTCTCGATTGAATCCAAGGTGGCCAGTTGGTATTTAGCAGAGCCATCCTATAAATGGCAGCAGTACTCCAAACACGACCGCACGTGTGCTTGGTACAGCTGAAGCAACTGTCCCAGAAGCAACAGCTCCGCCACCAATGAGGAGATTTGGTAATGGACTCAGAGTCGATGGCTTAGCGGTGGCACCCGCTACTTGTGCAATGCGCAACGGGAAGTGAGCGTGCCTACAGCTCCGGTACCTATCTGGAAAATGGGGAGGGTACTGTACGTGCACCCGGGGCAGCTCATTCGAGGCACTAGCCTCTCGAAGAAGCGGATGAAGTCAAGTGACAGAGGTCTGTGACAACCCTGTACGCTGGCTGATCTATTTATTCATAGACAAACTAGAATCGGTCCCAACTATCATATCGTCCGACATCAAGTAACGTGTGAAATTGTCAAAATTGTTTGCTATTGACATTTCATTTCGAATAAAACTTCATCTCGACTGGTATTAGAAATGAGGTCAAATCAAATTGTTTTGTTTTTCAGAGATGTTCGAAATTTGAATGTAATAATAACATCGTATTCGATGTTATTATGAAGCTATAACATTGACTTACAAATAAATGGACGACGGGTCTAATACAAAAACCACGAAAAAAATGTCCCAAGTCAACCTATTTAAACGTAGTGACATGTAAAGGAATATGAAAAAGCTAAAACGTTGAATTTAAATTGTAATGTTATCCCAGTACTGTCTAATTTTGCTTGCTTCACTGTCAGTCGAACAAACGAAGACTAAAGCGCGAATGACGCTCTGTACACGATTTTAACGCCCTATAAGTTCGGACACTTTTTAGCGCGGACCCGACGTCCATATAATTGTAAGTCAATGATGTGTGTAGATAAAATATATCATGATATTTTATTGCCATGATATTAATTTATTTTTGTGAAATTACTCCACTAGTTTTTTATAGTTCGAATCCTGTCAGGTCGAAGGATGTTTCTTTGTATTAATAATTATTACTACAGGTTGGTTGTATCATCGTGATAATTTATATATCGTTATTACTCTGTTTCAGTTCTATCCGGACTTACACGAGAACCGGACAGGTTCTCTTGTTCCGTTCTCTCTTCGACTGCTTGTTGCCGAATTGCCCGGTCATGTAGGCAAACCTGAAGAGGCAATTGACAGACTGTATGCCATGCTGGACATTGTACAACAGGTAAGATATTTAAGAGTCCATACCACCTCAGATCGAATTAATTTTTTTTCCTTAACTAATAAGGTTCATTTTGCTTGGGTCGCTGCCGTTCGACCTTATTTTAGGACACCAGCTTTATTTCAGTAATTATTTTTTTACAAACGAAATTATAGCCATTTGAGAAATGTACGAAAATGGGGGCTTTGTATAGAGGCTTAGGGGGAGATTTGTAATTTCATCTAGGAAGATTCCTAGACACCGACTGAGCACTCGATTCTCGACTACAACTTGTGAACATCAACTAATATTAATTAAGAGCTTGAGAAACTAACTCGGTTCGATATTTCTCTCCGTGTAGTTCATATATCTGTCGTTTTATTGAATAAATAAAATAAAAATCATGTCAATCGGTCGCTCCGTTTCGAAATGAAAGTAGACACAAACAAACGAATAAAAACGCAACAGATACAGTTTCTCATTTTAATAGTTATTAGTATTCCTAGATAGGTAATTTTCGTAGATAGTAGATCGCGGGCAATCAAGTTTTAACAAGTTTTTATTAAATAACCCGATTTGTGCATTCCTGTATCAATCGGCTAGTTCATGGAATACTTGTTCCTACTTGTTGAGTACAATTGAGCATCGAATGAGATAAACGAGTTTATGCATGTTTATCTTATTCCTGTCGGTGCGTGCTGCTTATGCAATCCCATATAAAGAACGTAATATTTATTTTATTTTCATTTGCGGTTTCGCGCGTAATAGATAAGCACTACGTATTTCTTAAAACAAAACAATGTCGGAAGTAAAAAAGAAGAGACGGCAATACTGTGCGAAATATATTAAATTCGGATTCATTGAAAATCCCACCAACTCATAGACAGTCGCCTTTGTGCCTTCTATGTAGAAGGCACAAAGGAGACTGTCTATGAGTAGACATCTAAAAACATTTTCGAATAAAGCAATGAAGCCTTCAAGGCTGCAATATAATTTGAATAAAATGCATCCAGATAAGAAAGACAAGAATGTAGCATATTTTCAAGACCTAGAGAAGAAGCATAATACTCAGCCAAGTGTAGCAAAACTCTTTTCGGCGGCTGCTAAGCAAGATGACGACGGGCTTCGAGTTTCGTACAATATCTCTTTGTTAATTGCTCAAAAAGTCAAACCACACAACATCGGAGAAGAGTTAATTTTGCCAGCAATAAAGGAAGTAATAACTACTGTGCTTCATAAACCGGCCGTAGATATTATCCGAAAAATTCCTTTGAGTAATAATTCTGTGCAAAGACGAATTGATGAAATGGCTGAAAATATTGAAGACCCATTGTGCAATCATCTGAGGACTAGTCAATTCCCAATTCAGCTCGATGAGTCCACTTTACCAACTAATGAAGCATTGTTGCTGTCTTACGTAAGGTTTGTTAAAGATGAGAAAATATTTGTTAGTTGTGAAAATGTTTGCTAGAAATTTAGAGACCGATACACAAGGCGAAACCATGTTCAATACATTGGAAAAGTTTTGTGATGAGAAAGAGATTTCCTTGAAAAATATTATATCATTTGGTACGGATGGCGCTCCGGCTGCAACAGGGTGCCATAAAGGCTTCATAGCGTACTAAAAAAAATAAAATTCCAGATGTCCTTGCTGTACATTGCGTTATTCATAGACAACATTTGGTTGTTAAAAATTTAAGGAACGACTTACAATCACTGCAATATGTCATCAAAGCAGTCAATAAAATCCGTAACAGCTCTTTGAATGATAGATTATTTCATCAGCTTTGTGATACTAATGACGAAGATTTCAACCGTTTGTTGTTTCGTACTGAAGTTCCTTGGCTATCAAGAGGCAATTGTCTGACTCGATTTTACAACCTGTTTGACTCTGTGATATAGTTCTTGGAAACTAAAGATACAGAATTGCGCAACAAGCTCATTACATCAAAAAATGATATAGCTTACATGACAGACCTGTGTAAATAATTCAACGACATGATTCTCCAACTGCAAATCGATGAACTAAATTTAATTAAAACAAAAAATGTCGTTGCTTTTTTCGCAGTCATACTGCTTGTACACAAAAAGAATATAGGCAGACGTGAGTTTCACAATTTTCCGAATTTATCAGTATCCTGCAGTAACGACAACTTGTTTGCTTACTGCCAACATATGGAAAACCTCCACACCTTCACCGAACGATACCAGGACATTTTGAACTTGGAAATACCAGACTGGGTGTTGGATCCGTTTCTCCTGCAAGGTGGACCGACGATCTGTAGAAGGTCACGAGTAGGGGTTGGATGCGGAAAACGGGTGATCGGGCACTATGTGTACTATTGTCGTACACTTGGGGAGGGAATATGCTAAATGACATAGTATACAATAACCACACCAATAATCACCTGGTCTCAAATGATCATCTTCGAGTACCAGAGCAAAGAAATTCACTGTGGGGTACCTGGAACACTGAGACCAGAATCACTTTCAAAAAATTAATTCCCAAAGTGACCCTACTAAAATTAGAACCCAAGTTGAGTCACCAAGGTTATTAAATAGAATTAAACCCCATAGCAAAATCTCTCAGACAACTTCAACATACAAAAGTACGAAATGCCAAAGAATACTACCTTACTGTAAGTGGGTAAATAATAATAAGTAGGTAATTTTTTTATTTCCAGATGCTTGAAAACCTTCGTCAAGGTAAGACAGAAGACGGTACTGCCACCATAACCGAGCAAGACAAGATAGAGTCGCTCCGTCTGTGGACCGGGAGAGAAACTAGAGTCCTTCATTCAATCGTTAACTGCGCTATTGCTTTGAAGGTAAGAAGCAGTTGTAACTCCTCGTGATTCGCCCGTTTAATTTCATGCTACATGTCACGTGATAATGCAGACATGTGATTGGTCGGTTTGAATTTCCTACTTCACTTCTAATTTGAACAAATTTTTGATACACAACTTGTTTTTTTCCAGGATTACCGCTTAGCAGGCAAGATCCTCATCTCTCTGCAGCAGCAATCGACAACGGCGTCTCAGCGCCGGGCGCTGTCCAGCGCGCTGTGCCGTCTATGGCTGCTAGCAGGACATGTCAAAGCCGCTATGGCGTATTTAGAAGACGCGAAGGAACATCGCCATCATATGTAAGTATATAAACGTAGTAATTATTACAATAGCAGATAATGTAATGCATTATTCTTACACTATGTATAACTCATTACCGAATAACTGTCTGAACTGCTGTTATTAAACTGCAGTCAGTCAAAGTGAAATAATCATTTATTCCATAGATAAAATTACACTTGCAAACGTCATTTTTTAACTATTCGTTCATTGCGCTGACTTCCCTGAGAAGAACAAGCAATAAACTCTAGAGATTGCTCTTTTCAAATAAACTTAAATTTTTTATTTATTTTTTTTATAAAAAATAAGCGCGCATTTACCATACTCGACCGGACTTGTGCTAGATACAGCTGAAGCAACTGTCCCGGTGTGAAGTATCGCCTCACCTTGAAAAGGATGCCAAGCTTCTTGGCTGCATTTTTGGCCACGGATTCAATGTAACTGCCGAAGTTCAGATTGGACGACAGATCCATTTCAAGTAGGTAAGACGGTCGGCTATCGGTGTGGATATATTACGAAAAGTCGGAGTCAGGTGAAAGGGACTCCGTTTAGTGGAGAAAAGACACGCCTGCGTTTTGGTAGCATTAATTTTTTTATTTTTGTATGAAAGTAAAATAATATGATGAATTATAACAAGCTTGGAATAAAAGTTGTTGTTTATGATATTAGGAATATAGTTCTGCGAAGTATAGTTCAGAATGAGGTGGTTTAAAAATAGTACAAAGAGCAAGGCCTAGCTACTTGTTAGTGAGTTACTTGCTCTTCTTCTCAAGGGAATCTGCCGTAGTTTAGGCCAGTGTCAGTTTCGAGTAATGGGGTCAGTTAATGATCAATTTCGAAGAGAGCAGGTAGATAATATTGGTCAAAAACGCTAACGTTAAGGCACCAGCAAGTTATTTATTTTTGGAAGGGCCTCTTCGACGAACCTCTGTCGTGGAGGGTATCATCATCATCATTCAGCCATACTACGCCCACTGCTGGGCATAGGCCTCCCCCAACGATCTGCACGACGATCGGTCCTGCGCTGCCCGTGCATGCGAAGATACCCTGAGGTGAAAGAGAACAATCATGGACAAATAACAAACTCGAGCCTTATATTATCACAGCGGATAAAATCGCACATATTGTAACGATGCGACCTTTTCACCTTCGTTCCGTCATTGCTCCCATCAAAATTCCCGAGGCGAGAGGACGACCTTTTCAGTAGCAGTAGTGTGAAAGAGTTCGTCCAGGGTAGTACTGCCACTTTACCTATTTCTGCAGCCAAGCAGTAATGTCAGCATTACTGTGTTCCTGTTTTGAAGGGCAAGGTTGCTGGTAAAATTACAGGCACATGGGACTTGCCAACCTATGTCTATAGGGTGACGGGCGCAGCGGCAATGCCCCTCAGATCTTTGCGATTTAAAGCTTTGAGTGGCACTGCAACTGTTCTGGACAGGCGTGTCGCTTATAGTCAGGCGCACGAATTGTTCGTCCCGTCAATAGATAATATAAAAAAACTACGTGCTCATGAAGTAACCTCATTTAAAACCCTACTTCAGTGATTTACGTTTTTTTCACCATTGGGCATTGACTTACAATTATATGGACGTCGGGTCCGCGCTAAAAAGTGTCCGAACTTATAGGGCGTTAAAATCGTATACAGAGCGTCATTCACGCTTTAGTCTTCGTTTGTTCGACTGACAGCGAAGCAAGCAAAATGAGACAGTACTGCGATGACATTACAATTTAAATTCAACGTCTTAGCTTTTTCATATTCCTTTACATGTCACTACGTTTAAATAGGTTGACTTGGGACATTTTTTTCGTGGTTTTTGTATTAGACCCGCCGTCCATTTATTTCTAAGTCAATGCCATTGGGATAAACAGAGATATATTTGAATTTAACAGCTGTCCAACACCTGACGTCCGCGAGTACGTCGATCTGGGTCTAATAGACATCGCGCACGGCAAATACCAAGAGGCTTATAATAATTTTGCAAGAGCTGCTGACCAGGAACCGACTAACATAATGGTAAGCATACCACTTCATCATCTGGATGACGTAATGAACGGAATAAACAAATTAGTGGAAGTGTGAATTGGGGTTTTTCCTTAGTAGTCACGGTTATGTCCCTTACAACAAAATCATGCTTCAAAGTTCTCATTGATGTTTGTCGGATTTGGGACAATTGAATATACTGCCATCTAGTGTTGAATAACGGAACTCCAAAGCAAACGGTTAATTATGTCTTTTTTGAAGACGGAATAAAATGACATTTGCTCAGGGTTGCCAGTTTTCATAAAATTAATTTTATAAATAATCAAGTATGTAGTTGTTGTCTACAGTTTTATTGTGAAAGGTAAAGTTTTGAGAATTGTGACTGTTACGACGTTCTAATTAATGATGATTTTTAGCGTTATTCTTTTTTTGTTCTTATTTTGACATTTGGCCTAAATCAATTTTTATTCATATATACATTTTTAATAGGAACAGCAGGATTTGGTTGTCTATATTGAATTAAACACTTTAAAATAGGTCTCCTCTTTATATTTTTAACAGATAACTATACTTTTAAATGTAATGCAATCACTGAAATGCAATTATTTTTTATAATGTTAAGAGACGTGTCGTGCGCCTAAACGACACGCCTGTCTATTACAGTGGCACTACCAGTGATTTATTTATCACAAGAAATTGGAGTAGCTTTGAAAAATTGCAGCTTGTCAATGAAAAACGAATTACTTACTAAAACATCTATTTGGTACTCGTCGCGACATTTGGTGTACCAACAGGCACTAAATACCCGACTGCGCTGTCTTGTATCGCGATTTGCAGTCCTCTTGAGTTACTGGTCCATAGTTGTAACAAACATGATCGACATTTAGGCTCAACTCACACTGGCGCAGAGTCGAAGCGTCGCGTCGCGTCCTGTTTTTCAACTACAACGCCTGACGACTCTTACATTAGCACGCCCGGATCAAAGTGTGGTCATCTTCTGACGCCTCACTGCGCGCTAGGAACCGCTCGACTTTAACCAAGTCGCACATCGACGCGCGATTCCATATTTGCATAACACAAATTTGTACATATCGAGTTCTTAGGTTTTCGCGATTGTTACACATAGGAAATGAAACTATTTTTCCGGATTTAAATCGCGTATATTTGTTTTTTCATACAAACCGACGTTTCGGGCCCTTTACAGGTCCCATGGTCACGGTTGACTGAGGTGGTACAGTCTTCAACCAGTTACGAAACGTCGGTTTGTTTGTAAAAACAAATATACGCGATTTAAATCCGGAAAAATAGTTTCATTTCCTACAAATTTGTACCTTAATTATTTTCCTACAGAGATGAATATGCTATGGGCGAAAAACATGACGCGTCGCGACGCTTTGTCTCTGTGCCAGTGAGTTGAGCCTTAGGGTCCATTGAGAACTAGAGTCACAGCCAATTCTCGGCTATGGCTGAATGCAATCCTTTTGTATATGCCACAGCCACATACATGTCAGTATAGTATTGATTTATACAGAAAAATTTGTTGTTTGTTTTAAATGTCAGCTATGCTGTTTTTTTGTTATTTATTTTATTTTATGGTTTTATTCATATTACTGTTTTGTGTTTCTTTCTTGGAATGTGGCGTTGCATTAAGTGATTTCTATTTCTATTACTTCTATTTCAATTTTTAGCGAAATTGAGTTATTAACATATCTCCAAACTACAAGCCCCTGTAATAGGTTTTTTTATATCTTATTTATTTTCAATTTATTGTTAAGCAAAATAAGCGAATATGACATTTTTTATTAGCAAAGCACTTAACGTTTGGTGCCAATGTCTCGAAAGTCACCGAAATGTTAATTAGCTATAGTTATAAGAAGGAGGACAGCATAACATCATGATTTTAAATTACATTAAAAAATTACAGGTGGCCAACAACCTAGCCGTCTGTCTCCTCTACATGGGCCGCCTCAAGGAAGCGATAGCGGTCCTTCAAAAGTCTATAAACTCAGACCCAGACCGAGGTCTAAACGAAAGTCTACTAATCAACCTTTGCACGTTATACGAACTCGAGTCTTCTAAAACTAATGAGAAGAAATTAAATTTGTTAAGAATGCTTTGTAAATACAAAAGTGACACTATTCCTAATGTTCTGGAGTGTTTGAAACTTAGTTAAATGTACAATAAAATATGTATAAATATAGTCTCTAGTTATTATACAAAGATGGTAGTAATGCTCTGGCCACACAGGGGCGGTCGCGAATGCGTTCCGGGCGCGGGAGTTTTTGTAATGTACGAGTTCATATGAACACTGACACACTGAAACGCGCGGCTGATGCTCTGTGTGACCTGGGGGACTACTACGAGCTCTTAGAGCAATCCTATTTAAGCCTATAAGTTCTTTGCCTGTCAAATTCGTACAATTACCCCACAAAAACAATTCACTGTCCATGCAGTTTACATTCCCAATCCCCATTCAAAATCCGTTCACCTTTTCTTTCATTGCAAAATCGTATCATGACGTTCCGTTTGCCATGTAAATAGCAGTCTCATCTGTAATAATAAGCATTTCAAAAAAATTCTCCATGACTAACTTTTTTTAGATTTTGTTACATTTTTAAGAAATTTCGTTTAAGTTTTATTATGTTTTCAGTTTCGTAATTATTTGTTATCTTTATAAGCTATATGGCCAATTGTTAATAAATAAATACTATTAACTATTGAGCGTTTTTTGAAAATTTTAGCTCGAGTTCCCAATCTTTAAACTATTGTTGATAAATCATTGGCATGAATGTTATTGCAATCTTTAAATGGAATTTTAATCATTCTAATAATTTTATTGACCGAAAGTCGTAAAATAACTTTTAA